ACAGATTAACAACAAACCAAGCCTCACCCCCTTTACTTCCCAACAAGTACAAAAAAAAAAATAAACATACAACAAACCAAACCAAACCAAACCAAACCAAACCAAACCAAACCAAACCAAACCAAACCAAACCAAACCAAACCAAACCAAACCTCACCCCCCCAAAAAAAAGAAAGAAAAAAGAAAAGAAAGAAAACAAAACTGACCATCCTTTACTTCCCAACAGCTATCTCTTAGTGGCAACATCTACACGTATGTTTCCGGCCACGCGCACGGTGCCTTCGCGGCGGCCCGTTGTGTTCTGGACCTCAATCGATTCCCAACGTATGCACCTCGGAAGTTGTTTTTTGGTTTGAGTCGCTTTTGTTTTATTTATCTGTTTATTTATTTATTTATTTATTGTCTTCACACTCACGTCGGCCTTGTTTGTGCTCTCTCGTCACCCGTCAGCACTTTTGTTTTTGTGTTTGGGTGCGCATGTGTGGGTGTGGGTGAGTGAGTAGGTGAGTGGGTGAATGAATGAAGGAATGGATGAGTGAGTGGGGTGAGGTGACAAAGTGAGTGAGTGAGGTGAGAAAGTGAATGAATGAGTGAGTGAGTGAGTGAGGTGAGCAAGTGAGGTGAGCAAGTGAGTGAGTGAGTGAGTGAGTGAGTGTACCAGCAAGTGCGTGGGTGAGTGCTTGCGTGAGTGTGTGCGTGCATGTGATTGGGTGCCTGCTGTGCGTGGAAGCCAGTGAGTAGTCGAGGAAGTTGAAGGATGTGTGGGTACCAAGGGAACGAGTGTGTTTATGAGCGCTTTATTATCGTAGGTGTTAGCGGATGCAAATGAATGTACTTTTTATACCTCTTTGAATACGAATAAGTGCTACCGGATGTTTCCGTGTGCGTGCATGCATTTGTATGAGTGGGCGAATGAGGGAGAGGGAGAGGGAGAGGCAGGGGGACGAGGAGAGGGAGAGGGAGAGGGAGAGGGAGAGGGAGAGGGAGAGGGAGAGGGAGAGGGGAAGAGAGAGAGGGAGAGAATATGCCTGGATGAGTGAGTGAAAGAGGGATCGAGCAAGTGAGCAAAGAAGTGAACGTAGTGAACCTACGAGTAAAGCGAGTAAGTGAGTACGTAAGTAAGTGTGGCTGAGTACGCGAGAGAGACGAGGGGACAGAACGAGAGACCCAAAGAGGCAGAAGAGGAGAAGGCGGCCTCGCTTGCTTGCTCGGGGGTAAACAAACCAGGGCAAACTTGAACACGTGGTCTATTAACCGTAACAGCAGCATTATCCCCGGCGAGGAGCTTGCAAGAGCCAATGCCTGGGAGAAGAAAGGCGAAAGCATAAAAGGGATTCGTGTAGCAACTCCTGAGGACTATTGTTTGGACTGTGAAGCACTCGAGAGAGAGTTTGCCAGCACTAAGCTTTATATATATATTTTTTTCTAAGTCATAGTTGCTTTGATTGTTTTTTTAGTCCCTTGCTTGATTTCATTTATTTTTTATGTGTATGCATGGATGCGCTTTGCCCTTTTTTTTATATATATCAGTCCGTCCGTTATTGTTGTATAAAAAAGGTGTCCCTAATTACGGTTTTGTGTGGCGGGAGGAAGCAGTTGTTTCGTGTGGCCTTCATTAATACACCTCGGGATTTTTGAGCGATTGAATTTCGGTTGATTGGCCAGTCCACCGCCTACCTTGAGAGCGCAGATGACCGGCACTTGCATGGGAGCACAAGGCACGGGTGGAATCTGCATCATTTGATTCCTCGGCGAAAAGTCAAAATGGCCGCCATCCATTTGGGTTTCAAAACCGAAGGTGAAAAACCAACACACACACACATACACATATGTATGTAAATATATGTAAAGATATGTATATTTGTGTATATATGTATATACATATGTATATATATATTTATATATATGCTTATATATGTAAGTATATATATGTATATGTATGTATATGTATATATGTGTATGTATATGTATATACATATATACATTTGTATATATGTATATATACATAAGCGTACACACATGTTTACATATGTGTATGTATATGTATTCGTATATATATGTATATGTATATATATATGTATACATTTAAGTATAGACATCTCCCTCCCCCTCCCACTCTTTTTATCTCTTTCTCTCTCTCTCTCTCTCTCTCTCTCTCTCTCTCTCTCTCTCTCTCTCTCTCTCTCTCTCTCTCTCTCTCTCTCTCTCTCTCTCTCTCTCTCTCTGTTCTACTTTCTTTCTCTTTTCATTTCCCTTTCTCTTTCTCTCTCCTAAACCTCCTCCCCCTCTCCATCCCCCCCCTCTCCGACCGAATTATTTTTAAAAAGTTGTATTCATGTTAGTTTATTAAACATTTTACAATAGATGTATACATTTAAAGAATACATTTTGAGTATATTTATATTTATGTCATGTGATTTTTCATTCGTTATATATATATTTTTTTATGTGATAGCGAATCTTTTTCTTTTGTTTGCTGTAAAATTCTAGTTACATTTATTTGAAATTGGCAACGAGTTGTTTTTTATATGAATGTAGTCGTTAGTAATAATAATAATGATGATTAATGATGTAGTAAAAAAAATATGATCATTATAACTGTGACAGTGATGATGTTATTATCATTATTGTGTTTGTCATCATCGCCATCATTATTAATCATCATTATCATTATTCATCATCATCATCATTATTCATCACCATCATTATTCATCATCATCATCATTAATCATCATCATCATTATTCATCATCACCATCATTATTCATCATTATTCATCATCATCATCATCGTCATCATCATCATTATTCATCATCATCATCACCACCACCACCACCACCACCACCAACACCATCACCGCCACGAAATAGAATTGTTTTATCGTATGGCGTAAGATATGCATTTAATTACGTGCATTGTTGTAGTATATATATATATATATATATATATATATATATATATATATATATATATATATATATATATATATATATACATATATACATATATGCACACATATATAAGTGTGTTAAATTTTATTTCGTACGTAAAGTAAATATGTATATATGTATAAGTATGTATACTTATACAGTGAGTGAGTGAGTGCATTTAAGCAATCAGTTAAAATTAGGTGGAGGTGATGTATATTTTTTTCCATTGCCCTCATGTACGCTAATCATGGTGTGATTAACTGTACTGTTTGAAAAGCCACCTCATCTTTTTCAATGAATATTTTACTGCGACTGTTATACCCTTTCAATATTTTAAAAGACAGCTTCACATTTGGGTTTTCGATAGAAATATTACAGTTTAATTCTGATATTATAGACACCATTCCCTTGGGCCGTAGAAAACATCGGACTGATACTGGTTATATGTAAAAGGAAAAAGAACAAAAAAAACAAACAGCAAATTTATATTTATGTAACACCTGCAGCAGTTCCCGTTCAGTTGAAAAATGATGATTATCAGCATCACGGCATTACAAAATTGCGTGTGTGGGTAATGACTTCTCACTTTCGTCATGACGGCGGCTGGATCGGGCTTGCGCATGACCCGGACCTGCCAGCAAGCGCGCGATAAAGTGCTTGATTTCGTAACTTTCTGAAGGGATGACGAAAGGCTACGTTTGCGGTAATTGCTCGAGACAAGTGATTGGGGTTGAAAATGATCAAGCAATTATCTTTGGGAGCTTTAGGTTTTATTTTATATATATACATATTTTTTTCGTTCGTGTTTCTGTCCACCGTGTGTTATACTTTCGGTTCCACGTCATTCTTCAGATTTGGAAGAGCAATTTGCACAGAATTAGTTGAAGCACATGTACCTGACATGTTTTGATGAATTTATTTTCGTGTTACACAGTATGCACTTTTAGATATAAGCGTGTTCGTTATATGCAATGTGGATTACCTGACTATTGTGATTATTTTGATTAATACACATTTTTTTCGATAAACTTCAATTCCATTTTAATATAAAAAATTCCCATTTCCTATTTTCCCCTGTATACCTTCATTTGATGAATGACCTTTTTGGTAGTATTTATTGTTACTTTAACATTATCTTGCCTTTGCAGGATCTGAGGCCCAGCACTGGACGCTGTCAGGAGGCGACCACCAGCCCAGGAGGTCTTCAACATCTCTGTTCATCAGGTCCAAAATGGAAGTCATTCGGGCTTGGTTTGGGCGAGCCGGTGTAGGTGCTTGGCGATCAAGGCGGCAAGTTGTTTGGGCAGCTTGTGTGTTGGTTACTGTAGGCATTGTGTATCTCCAGTATGCGCCCGGGGACTCGCTCGATCAGCCGGCTGCACCCCGACACAGAGCCCTGAATACACTGTACTCCTCCCATGAGAGAGATGGCCATGGACAACAGCAGTCCGAGGGTGGACATATTCAGCATGTGAAGTTTGTAACAGGGAGTGATACCCAGCAACACGGCGATTGGCAGAGAAGACATGATGATCAGGATAATCAGAATGGCCGTCAACATGACGACTGGAACAGCCAAAATGAAAATGCCATTCAAGAAGAAGCCTTGCCTCCTGATCCGGCACAACAGCAGCATCAGCATGCTGTTGAAGTCTTGCAAAAACGAGTGGCAGAACGCAAGGCTCAGGAGCAGCAGCAGCAGGTGAACCCCCCAGGAGATCTGCTTCCTCCTCAACAAGATCTGGGTGTTGGTGATGGGAATTGGGCTGGAGCGCAGTACCGTTACAATCCCTATGGCGAACCTGTGTATGGTCGTACAGACAGGCCTAATTATATACCAGCACACCGTGTAGTGCATTTTGACTTGAAAGGAGCACCACCAAAGATGTCGGCTCTTTTGCAGCTGATCCCATGGCTGGCTGGGCAAGGAGCTACTGCAGTTCTTCTGGAGTATGAAGATATGTTCCCCTGGAAAGGTCGTCTTGCTACGATTGCCGCAAAGAACCATTATTCAAGAAAACAGATTGCTAACCTGGTCGCAGCTTGTCGCAATCATGGATTAGAAGTGATTCCACTTGTTCAGACCTTTGGCCATCTGGAATTTGCTTTGAAGCACGAAAAGTTTTCTCATCTACGAGAAGTTCCTGAGCTGCCCCAAGCCCTTTGTCCATCACTCAATGAGTCAATGTGGTTGGTGCGATCCATGATAGACCAGGTTATGGCCCTGCACTCTGGTGCTCGTTTCTTGCATATTGGCTGTGATGAAGTGTTCCAGATGGGAGAATGTGAGAGATGCCGACTTGTGTTACGAGAAACCTTATTTTTGCAGCACACTGAAGCTGTTGCAAAATATGTCCGAAATAAGTACGGAGCTGTTCCTCTTGTTTGGGACGATATGTTACGCCATGTTTCAGAATCAGCTATGCAGGAGGTGCACCTCGGAGATCTTGTTGAACCAATGGTTTGGGTCTATGCTGAAGATGTTTACAGGTTTGTCCAGCCTTCAGTGTGGAGCAAATATGGTCAGATTTTCCCTCGTGTTTGGGCAGCATCAGCATTTAAAGGTGCATTTGGTGAACAGCTAACAGTACCAAATGTAAGGAGACACTTGGATAACAATCTCAATTGGCTTGATGTAATGGCCACTGAAGACCGAAAATTCACTGGTGGTTTCCGTGGAATAGTCCTGACCGGGTGGCAGCGATATGATCATTTTGCTGTACTTTGTGAACTGCTTCCTGCTGCCCTGCCATCACTCTCAGTGAATCTGATTGCAACATCACATGGTTTCTTCAATGCTTCTGTTCAGGGACAATTGTATCAGGCCCTAAACTGCATGCAGACTCCAAAATACCAGTCTTGGCTTAACCTTGATGCTGACCCATATCTCTGGGACAAGTTTTCCTGGTGCTTCTTCCCTGGTGCACAGGTGTTCAAGGTTACAGCCCGTTTAGATGCTACCAAACGTGATGTTGATGCCTATATTGAGCGAGTAACCAAGAGTCGTGGATGGATCACAGATTACAACCGGCGTCATAACTTCTCCTCTCCAATGCGAGTGGATGAAGACCTGGAGGAACTCCCGGCAAGAGTCCATGCTGTAACTCTCCTCATGAAGACAGCTCGAGAAGCTTTATCTGAGTGGTTTGATGACTGGACAGTTGGTGAGTGGCTGGAGGAACGTGTATGGCCCCTTCTGCACAGTCTCCACAAACTGCAGCGTGAAGCAGAGAGCATGAAGGCCGTGCGATACTGGCCAGCCAGACCCCTGCCCCTCCTTCCAGAGCTTGCCGCATATGGAGTCTCTCAACCTAGCAGTATTTCTGATAATGCATTGGATACAGACACTGGAGGAGGAGGAACATGAATGCATAGCAAGTTAGCAGCATTCACATGGCTAAGAGAGCCATATCCTTCATAGTGGAGGACTAGGATGTTCTTTGTTTGGTGGAAATCAAGTTGTGAAATTTACGTATTTATTTTAAATATTAGGTGAAACATGTCATTATGAGTATTTTTAAAAGAAAGTGAATCAGCATATTGAGAATGTGTGTTCATAACTAAGTCATAATATAGTAATTCTTATGGAATGAAGAAATGTGCTGTCACCCTTGTAGATATATTAGTCATCATCCAGGAAAAGACTAAAGATTTTGTTCAGAGATATGATCATTGCCCCTGTCACTCTAATTGTCAGAAAAAAGATGGTTACTTAGTCCTTTTTGAATGATACAGAACTGAAGTCTAAACCTTTCTGTAATCTTGCACTATTTAAGGAAAAACATTGGATGGGTTTCTTACAAAGTTTCTTGCTTCACATTGGTCTGAAGGCATTCTGGAAAGGCTTTCACTATGATTTATGGCTTTGGATTACTTGTTAATGAAAGATTTATCAGTTGAAATTGCTTAAGAAGTAATCTGGAGAGGAATCTTTGTAAAAGTCACTGAACCAAGTGCTGCCAGCTGATCTGAATTATGAAGTCTTTATGAAGGTTGCTCACCAAGATCTGCGTTCAGTTTCTGACTTAATCCTTACCATATTCTACAGTTAGTTCCTACACCTTGACAGTACTTTGACTGAACATGTTTATAAGGGTAATAGCTCTTAGATAAAGTTCTAATTGGGCAGTATTGGGGATGGATCCTGGGCTAAAGTAAATGTTGTGCAGTAGAGCATGTGGCCTCAGGTAGAAGTGTAGAGAATCTTGGAATGTATAAGTTAAGTGAAGAGAACTGTAGCCTTAGATATTCTCACAAGAGGATTTAATTATATTTTTATAATGAAAGGTTGTATAATGCATTGTAATTTCAATACTTAATTAACTTACCCCTCTAGCCATTGTTTCCAAGCGAGAGTTGAATGTTGTTGGAACAATTCAGTGAACATGTGATTAATACAAGATATATGAACAGGCTATATACACACTTGGATCATGGTTAGAGCTGACTGAATCTTTTGTGACCCAGGATCTGTCCCTGATTGTGTAGACATTTGCTCAAATGTGGCAATCATCCTTCAACTACCAGACGAAATACAATCGTCATAGCAATCATTCCTGGTGTCATTCTACATGACAAAACCTTTTTTTTCCCCTCAATAGATTATTTTATTTGACCCCATGACCATAGTGAACAAAAAAATTGATAATGTTAAAGTTGTGAGTAACATCCTTCGTAATTAACTTGTTTTTCATTTTCTTTTTTTTTTCTTTTTTTTTTCTTTTAGAGAGAGAGAGAGGATGGTATCAACAAAATGACATGTAAATACCTCACAGATGCATTTGATGACAGTTGATTATCCTGTATCAGGATGTATGACTGGCTTTGAACTGAATTAACGTATCCCATACTTCACGTGACTTTGTTGTATTAGAAAAAGAAAATAATTTATCCTGTGATCATTACCCATCGTATAGACTTTTCTTCTCAGTATTTTAAACCATTGAAGATCTTTCTTTGCTAACATATTTTTGCCGAGCTTTTCTAACTAAAACCTTTTTTTTTCTAGCTATAACCACCAACAATGATATATTTATGAAGAAGTTTGCTCTTACTGCAAGTTGTCATTCTTTATCACTGGCACTCCTTTCCCTTATATAAAAAGAAATTTCCTGTTATACTGCAACAATAGGATTTGTAGTTTCCATTACCTTTACTCTAATAATCTTTATATCAAGAAAAAAAAAATTAAGGACATTCTTCACCTTTTTAAACTGTCATGCATTTTCTTATTATATTTTACAATGCTTTATATCACAAGAGTTGATGACTGATAATGTTTCAAAACAACTGTTCTCTGGTATTCGAACTCTGTCAGACTCAAACACTGGGTTTATTCAGCAACTCTGTAAACTTGACAGAATTGGAGTCCATGTGTTAACTAACAGTGAATTCTCTCTGGTAGTAGTGTATCAGATGTAACAAAACCTTGGTGTTCTTCACCTGTGTATTACTTGGTTTATCATATACTGACAAACAGGAAAGTCCAGTCTCGTGCAAGAATCCACAAATTACAGTGTAGCTGAGACTGCAAGGGAAATAACTGCATAATTTCTAGGCCGGCTTTATTATATTACTCTAGAGGTGCCGTGTATCACTTTTAATGTATGTAAGACCGTTTGTAAAAACTACTGAAGAAGAAGCTGGTCAGGAAATTTTGGAAAGTTGTGTGTTCTGTAATCCCATGTTTTATTGATTGCTTGTGATATGTGTGTATTAGAATTTTGAAATTAAGAGAATAATCTAGTAATTTCTGTATCTTAATTTATGGTAAAACTATAAGAGATATGTGAATATCTTGTAGATATTCTATGAATATCTTGGTCCTTTTTCACACAGCTGTTACGCAGCATAGAGAACTATAGTAACATTTTGTTTTTACTGTTTTGTTATTTTTCTCTCTCTCTTTTTCAGCCGCCATAAATGTTTTGGGCTTAAAGCTCAAGAGAGAAGTAGAATGAGAAAACGTATGATGATGATTTAGGGCAGTGTTTTCTGTAGAGATTTACAGTAAAAGGTATTCAAGTAATGAGAATGCGTAGACCATCACTTTGATTTCATATGTTTAGGGATTTGTATGCTGCTCTCTCTGGAAGGCAGATTTGATCATGCACTTAGTTGGTAATGCAAATAAATTCACAGTAATTACAAGCATTTCTTTTAGCAATTTTTTTTTTTATCTTCTTCTGATTTAAACTATGGTTATGCTTATATTTATGGTGGAGAGTCAGTTTCAGTTCTGTAAACAACCTGCTATGTAACAGTTTGTAACATACTTTCATGGCATATATTATAGACAAACAATGAACAAAGATTATAAAGGACAAAAAAGAAAAAAAGGTATACATCTTGGCCATCTATCAACTGTCTGTCTCTTTCATGGGAAGGATTATCATGTCCATTTTACATGTCCATTGAAGGGTATGGGAAAACCTGGAAGAAAATGACTTCAGTTTATTAAAGAATGAAAATAATTGTATTTGTTAGTGTTGCTTACAAAGAAAAAAATAAAACTGAATAAAAATGCTTATATAGATATCAATAAAGTGCAATTTATTACAGCTTTCACCACAACCAAGCTAAATGCCATGAAAGTAGCAGAAGCTAGTCATTGACAAAGGGAAAATTCTGAAAGATGAGCAAAGAAGCTTGATTCATTTCTTACATGGTTGTGCCAGAATCTTACTGACTGACTGCTGTAAGTTCTTAAGACTGTATCCTGGTGCCTGAGCAGACATACAGGAATGAATGATTTATTTTTGTATTATTTATATTTTCATAAGCTTTATTGCAGTTTGCAGTATACATATATATAGTTTTATTTTGGGTTAAATATTACCATGAGTTTCCTATATCTTTAGTCTTATTTACAATCTGTACAGCCATTCTCACTGTAAATAAAGTATATAGTATAAAATGTGTTTCTTTTATACTGTTTTGTGACAAATAGACAACAGTTTGATTGTTAAGTTCTTTTACAAGGAAGTAGAGCACATGCAGGGCCAGGTTTCCGAGTGTAATACTCACTTCTTAAGCTGCGTTACTTGCTTGAAGGGCCCTTAGTTTCCCTGC